TATCAAAAAATATAAGGTGACATGAAAGTTGTTGTGAAATATGAGAAAGCACGATAAATATGAAGAGTGTCGTCAAAATCATTAGAGGAGTGAGGCGCCAAAATATTTTTTGGTGGAAAACTTATGGTGTCTAACTTTTTTTTCTTGCAACAAAGTGTTTGTGATGCAATATCGTCTATTTTTTGTGACGAGGAATATTTGTTGCTTAAAATTCTATAAATGGAGGAAAAAATCGCTACAAAAAAACTATTTTTAAAATGGAGAAAAAAGATGCCGTATGTTTTTCACAACGCTCATTGGTATGTTGCGGGCTCTAATGTTGTTGTGGAGTAGAAGGATAAGGCAACAACCATTCCACATTGCAAAAGGCCTTAAATATACGTTGTTGTTATGTTTTTGCGACGTTCTTCATCTCTTGCTTTTATTGTATTTTGCAACTTTTTTGCTTGTTGTCTTAAATTCTTTTTGCAATAGTCAATGACTGTTGTGTTTTGCTTTTTTTTCAAACATTGTGTTGGAAAAAGTAATTACCCAAAACAAAAAGCCGTCATAAAATTGTCATGGTATTTAAAAATGCAAGACAAATAATAAAGAATGCCTCCAAAAATTGAAGTAAGACGCTAAACAATTTTTCGGTAGAAAACTATGTTGACAAACAATTATTAATAGCATAAAACGTCCCTACCTTTTAATGTTATTGTGCAAAACATCATTACCTTTCATTTTTTTTAGTATTTTTACTCCTATTTCCACCTTTCATTATGCAAAAGGTCCTTTTAATCCATTTTTTCAATAAAAGACGATTTTACCCCTATTCAAATAAAACAAAAAGAAAATATTGAAAAATAAAGAATTAATTGCAACTATAACCCCAAATTTTCAAAAATTATATATACTTAAAAATCAGAATTAAAAAAAAAAGAAGAAGAAGAAGAAGAATATCACCATTCCTCTATAATGGAGCCACCCGTGGTATGAGTAATTGCAGCAGAAGCATAGAGTATAATTCTATATTTGAATTTCAACTACAGCCATCACTTGCTTGATCATAAAGAATAACGTGCAATAGAATGGAGTAAGGGCTCAAATGATGTAGCCACACTTACTAGCCAATCATGCTTGCAAATTTTCAAATTATTCACAGCCAATTGTCTAATAGTACAACGGCCGCAAATGAAAACCCAAAACGGAGAAAATTCAAAGTAACGGCATTGGAATTTTGCAGCATGTCATTTCATTATGCTAAAATTTATTCCCTGTTCACGGTGGGCAAAAATTATGTTACCCACCTACCCACATCGGCAGGTCAAACAAATATTTTTTTTTTTTTTTTTTTTTTCCCAAAAAAAAAAAAAAAAAAAAAAAAAAAGTGAAGCCCAAAAGTAAAAAATTATAAATACGTTAACCTCACCCCAATTCTCCAAACTAGGGTGATCAAAAATCGAACCAATACACTAAAATAAACCAACCAATCTAGGTCAATATTCGCTTAAGATTTAATTGAGTTCGGATCCTTCATTTTTATTTATTTATTTTTTGCTTCTTCTATAGGTCAGGTTATGGTTATCCATAAAAATCGATAAAAAGATAATCCAATCCGATTTGCCTACTTAAAAAAATTGGAAAAAAATTACCATTTCACTCTTCATTTGTGCTATTGTTTTCATACTGAAACTGGATTGCATTATAGATGAATTGCATTTGATTACTGTTTGCTTGGCCCATCTGTACTAAGCCCGAACTGTTGTCTATTCATCCATTCACTTTGGAAAATCTCTCCCCACGCTTTTCAACCTAGAAATTTTCTCTTCAACCACAAATCCTGGAGAAAGATAAACAACGCGGATCGCATTTGAAGTGGAAGTGACGATGGCAGAACCTGGCGAAATAGTGTTGGAGAACGAGATGGGCATGGCGAAGGTGGAGAGTAAGTCTATGATTAAGGAAATCGTGGGCAAGATAATGGCCATCAAGAAAGAAGCCTAGCCCAAAACATAGCTACAGGAACTCGTCACTCAAATTCTCCTTAATTTCATAACCCTCCGATAGGTGTTTCCCTGTATATGTGATTGCGAAGGTGTTTAAATAGTATATTAAGTTTCTTTAGCGTTGCTTGGGTTATGATTTTCCCCCTTTTTGTGTCGTATTGAATATAAATGTAAATGGTTCTCGATTACAAGTAGCACCAACTTTGGGGTTTCTCTGAGAATTTTGAAGAAATAGTTTTCAGTTATGAGTGGAACTTGGGAATTTCATTTTTTTCTTACTCTTTCTCCAAATGTAATTATTTTTGGCATGTACAACAATGGAGATTTTCAAAATGACAGGGAGATAGGAAATACAAGTTTAAGGGAATTTTCTGTGATTCTCCGTTTAAACAAATTGCACAATTAATTCATGATATTTCACGTGGTGAAATGATGAACTAGAACATTAACACAGGAAATGTCGTTTGAGTTCAATTTGTGTGAAGGCACTTTACATCCCTAATTCAAGCTTTGGATTTGTGCATACGCACAGGAGTGTGCTTAATTGCTGATCTCTGTAACTTCTAATTTGAACGTTGTATCTCCTATTTGTTCTATCAAATTCATTGACGTAATCTTTGCTTTTCCTTTTCTTTTTATTTTTCCCCTGGGTGCTTGTTATAAAGATACAAGCTCATTAATGATTATTTTGATTAGATTAAGAAAATTTGCACTAATGCATTTCATTTTTGAGCAAGAGTACAAATATTATGTAAACTGAAAGAGAAGCAGATGGTGGTTTAATTCTAAGCAACCGTCTTTCACTTCATTTAGTAATATTAATTTTTTACCATACTTATTGGTGGTTTGATAATTTGATTTTGAAAAGTTGTTTTCCTTTACTATATTTGACGCAGGCATGATAATGATTATCTGTAGGCTCGTTGCAATAGACGATTCACAGAAAAAGTAAACGAAAAAATAACACCCAAACACTGAGAAATTTATGTGAAATCCACTCAATATTATTAAAACTCCAGAATTATGAAAATTTACTCACAAGCTCGGTTAAATAGCTGAGAAAATACGAAATTATGGAAATTTTACCAAAAATAATAAAATCTCAAAAATCACACCCAAATAAAATATGGAATAAAAGAAGTAATTTGCCAAAAATTTGGCTCAAATCAAATTCGTAGTCAACTAGAAAAAGGCAAACAAAATATTACCATAAGTGGAAAAAAATAACTAAAAATTGAAATTCAAAGGGAAAACACCGGATTTTAGCCTTGATATTGGTGCCAACTGAGTGTAGTTAGGAGACCACAACGTGCGCCCTGAAAAGAGCTTTCTGGATTGGGATCATAATGCGATTCTGATAACTGTAGCCAAAGTTATAGCCAAATTACCAAAAACCTATCAAAATTTCCCCAATTAAGGAAAGTATTGCTATCTCTTTCCATCTTTGCGCTGATTCGCCATCTCATTGTATCTCAAAGCCATCAACGTGTTATCTGACATTTCGGCCTCACTTGATTCGGAACTTCCTACGTCACTATTCAGGTGATGAATTTTCGGTTTTCGAATTTTCAAGAATTATTTTTTATATTCCATGCAGAAGTTTTAAGACATTTCATTTGTAAAAAAAGTGCAGGAAACAACATTAAATCATCTATGGATATTAGGCTTCTTGGTGATGGATATGAGCCATCATGGAATGATGAGAAATAATCTCATTTGGGTTGTTTCAAGAATGCAAGTTCAAGTGGATCGATCATTATCCAATCTTGTATTGAGCTACATTATATTAACATATATATATTCAAATGATATTGGCACTAATTTTTCAAGGAATATGTGCAATAGAAAACAAAATGGACGCTCTTATTATTAACGTAAAAAAAGATTAAATTTAGACATTTTTTTTCCATAAAAATGTTGTATGTGTCAATAGGGGTGAAGTAATGGAGATGGACATATGGGTTGGAGCAAAGTTGCAGGCTTAGTCCTGTGGTAAGCAATGGACAGGTAATAAAGCTTGTATTTTGCTCTGTTTTCTCAAATTGAAACAAGATATAGGGCTGAAAGATTTACATCATTACCTGCAAAAGTTCCATTAAATGATATGGCTGAATCTTACGAATAATAAGAAACCTCTGTGGATAGAAACTGTTGAATACATTATGCTATCAGTTCTTTGTAATATTTTGTGCATATATGCTATGAACATATTAATTCTTGCTCTCTCACTTATTCTTTATTGGAATGAAGCTATTAGAAATTATATTACTTTTTACTCAAAATGAACTTCATTACTTTCTCCCTCATTTATTCCTTAATCGAACGGATAAATCAGAAATTATATTACTCATTACTCATTACTCAAATTTGGCATTTTTACTGTATGAGAGAGTAATGAAGTTCATCTCAATAGCCAAAGATGAAGCTGCCACCATCATGTGTGGGGGTATACGCCCTCAAGTAAAATTCCTTTATCATAGCATATGGCAATTTTGTGAATTAGCATATAAGGATACACTACAAGAAAAAAAAAGCTTTTTGCAACATGTAAACAACAACATTCTTTAATTGCATGTTGCTAAAAGAGGTCTATTGCAACATTCAACAAATGTATGTTGCCATTGGTTGAGTAAATTAAGATTTAACAACGTTGTTTGAATGAATGTTGCTAAAACACCCTTTTGCAATGTTCATAGACTGTTGTTGTCATTGTTGCCCTTTTTTTTTGGCAACGTGCATTGACCGTTGCTATAGATGTCTTAATCGTTACCTACTTTTGCAACGGGCAATGAACGTTACTGTATATGTTTTAGCAACGTTCGCATTAGTTCAACAACGTGCAATGCACGTTGCCATTATATGTTTTAGCAATGTTCATGTGAATGTTGTGGTTAATTATCTTTGGAAACATTCTTCGAACATTTTTATTAACTAAAACATACAAAACCCAAACCACATGACCCGACCCGACCCCGATAGTTTGGAAAAAACTCAATTTCAGCTCCAAAATCGTAGACAGCCCTAATTTCTTCCACCTCTTTCTCACTCTCGCTCTCTCGTCTGTGATTTGCAAGATAGCAAGCACGGCTGTTCTCTCACTCTCGCCACCAGAATCCCTCTCTCTCTCTCTCGTGTCTCTTTGAGCCCTTGACGCGGAGCCGCCTTCCTTCCATCGACACCATCAACAAAGCAGCTGAAATGAGAGCACAACAGGCAGCAGGGGAATCTTTTTGGGAGAAAAAGGCGTAGACCACTTAGCACTGAACCATGAACTCTCTGAACTGGTGAAGTTCATTCGGTCAGTAGAAGAAGGTGAAGCCCAAAAGCCCTTTCATTTCTCATTTCTTTTTATTTATTTAGTACAAATAAGATGGACCTGTACAACATCTTTGGAAGGAAGTTTAAGATGAGTTTAAGCAGTTTAACATATTTGAACGTCAGCCGTGAGCAAAATGAATTTATATAACTTGTTTGATTGCTTGAACTTGAGGTGTTTGGATTTGTCCGTTTTAGTCATTTTGCCATCGATTTTTCGTTAAATTTATAGTTTTCAAGATTTATTTCTATTAGGGACAATAATATGCAAGTAATTTTTTTTTTTTTTACATTATCAGTACTGATTATTTCTGCATATGTTTGGTGCTTATATTTGGTGACAGTGATGAAAGTCAATGACGTAGAAGTTACTCTTAACTGCAAGTGGTTATAATTATTTCTGTAGGTTCTTGTTCTCTTATTGTGTGTTTGTAGGTTCCTCTATACTGCATCTTATTCCTTATTTGGTTTTGCTAGTGGAGGAAGGATTTAAAACTTAGTGGTGAAGCTACAGTAGAAAAAATCACTTTGGATGGTGTTCGAGGGCTGCATAGTTTTAATGGTGAAGCTACAGTAGAAAAAATCACTTTGGATGGTGTTCTAGGTCTGCATACTATGATATGTACATATAGAAATATATAGTAATTGCACATATAATTATTTTCTTGTAAACCAAGTTTATTCAATTCCACCAAGATCCCTTTATTCTCAGTGGATCTGCAGAAAATTGAAGGATCAGAAAATATTTTGGTGGTCTGGGTTCAGAGTGTTACTAAGTGTGATTCAAATCTGAGCAACTTACAAAAGCGTTCAATTTTTAGCAGAAACGAGATAATGACTTTCCTTCATAAATTCTGATGATTTGAGTTTGTGTTGGCTCAAATCTTTGCTCAATGTGAACGTTATGGTTGAATTTGATTTTTCTTTTCTTATATTCGTTGAATTGAACTTGAAATTGTTTGACTATCTTGTAGAGGTGAGTGTTCCTTGAGAAAATAAATTTTTAAGTATGATTTCTTGCCTGATATGTTCTGGACTGTATAAAAGAAGCTCTTATGATGATTTTTAAATTGGGCTTTTAGAATCTGGTGCATGGTTGAGCTTGAAATTGATTTGTATTTTATTAGGATGAAGTTAAAGATTGTTGTTTTATATATCAATCCACTTGCTATATAAATTGAAAATCAATTGATTTGATGTGGATATAATCACTTAGGTTGTGAAATTGAATTAGTTGTGTAATGACAGTATAAATGGTAGATTGTGTAAAGTTCAGGAAAGTTGAATAAATTTTTTATTTGAAAATGAGCAGACTACTACCATGGCTATTTTGAGTATTGGACTCCGACAGTTACCCATTGTATGCTGTTTGTAATTTGCATTCAAGCATTTGGGTTTAATTTCAGATATTTGAGATGGAATCAAACTTAGAGGAAGCGCTCAGGTTTAAAGCAAATGCTGAAAAAAAGTTTGCAGAGAGAAATTCTGTCTGTGCAAGGAATTATGCTTTAAAAGCTCAGATGTCCTGTTCTGAACTGGAGGGCGTTTCTCAAATGGTGGCAACTTTTGGAGTTTACATTGCTTCAGAGGCAAAAATTAATGGAGAATTTGATTTCTATTCAATTCTTGGAATGGATCCATACATAGACAAGTCTAAGTTGAAGAAACGGTACAAAAAGATGGCAATGTTGCTTCATCTCGATAAGAACAAAACTATGGGTGCTAATGGAGAAAAGGTAATTGCTGAAGAGAATTTTGAAGAATTACGTAGTCTAGTTTTTGTATTTATAGGCTAACTTGTTTTCTTTGATAAAAGTAATTTCGTTTTTTCAAGTGTGTAAGAAGGATTTGTGATGACGAATTTATTACTCATTTTTATTGCATAAATAAATTTAAAAATTAATGTGAAATGATTTTTATATATGTAAAGTAATATATAAATATATAACAATGTATGAGTAATTTAAAAAAAAAAAAAAAGAAGATAGAAAACGGCAACATTCATTGAACGTTGCCAAAACCCTCTTTCGCAACTTTCAGTGAACGTTGCCAAAACTCATTAGCAATGCTCAGAATCCTGATTTGCAACGTTCAATGAAAGTTGCCAAAACTCTTCACTCTACGGCAACATCAGAACCCACAACAAACGTCTGAACGTTGCGATAGGTCTTTGGCAATGTTTTTTGACCGTTGCAAAAAGTGATTTTTGGTGTAGTGATATTGACCTAGCTTTATGATTGATTTCGAGCAAAGACAGGTCATTTCATCAAACCAGCCATAATAACAGATGTAAAGACCTCCATCTTTCTAGTGCAACATTATTTCTTCAATCTTTCGAGTTCTATATTCTCCTTTTTTAGGTTTGGTGAACCATTCTAAGTAGTTCGACCTTGAAATTAATAACAATATACTTTATTTGCATTTGCTTTAGTTTTGGAAGTAACTAAGTCTGTAAATAATACTTTGATCTATATCGATTTTGTTGACAATAATATGAATTTTTTAATGGATTTTGGAATTATTTATATTGAATTATTGTACATGGAAGCATTATTTTTATTAAGTCATGAGTTATATTTACTACACCCAAAAAAGGCTTTTCCAGCATTTAACCGTGTGTTGCGGTGATCGATGTTGCCATTGAGGGAAGAGTTTTTGTAGCGTTTATTCAACATTGCAAAAGCTAGTTTTTTGCAACGTTGCAAAAAGATTGGCACGTTGAAAAAGACCATCTTTTGCAAAGTTGAACAAACGTTGCAAAAAACACGCTTTTACAACGTTGAACAAACGTTGTCGTAAGCCATTTTACATTTTTTTTTTCAATTTTAATTTTAATTTTTTTTTTTTGGTAGAGTGATTCACATTTATCAATCACAAAACATAATAGAAGAAAACTATATCAAATAACTCTAATAATCATTATTAATTAAACTCTGAAATGTAACAATATCCATACAAAATTCAGATCCAAAATTCTAAAACACCTAAAAATCCAATACATTTTCCAAAAAAAAAAAAAAAACAAAAAACAAAAAACAAAAAACAAATAAAAAATCACAAACTAAGTAGTGAGTGAAACCACTCTATTGGCCTCCTTAATTTTCTTCTCAGCAATCTTCAACATGAGTTGTGCCTTAAGTGTTGGTCTTGGCCTATAAAAAAGGAGATAAAAATTGATACCACATTTTAGGCATTTGTACCAATTATAATCAAGAAGAAAAGCAAAGAAAAATAAGTAGGTGAAAAAGATGTAATATCATCAAATATAAAATTGCAAAGAAACCATATAACTACAAAATATGCTTTTAAGATATTCTTTTATCAAATTGTGAGTTAATGAATTTAGAGATTTTTTGAATGCGATCCACCTTTAGCAACTTTCTACATTTTTTAATAAAAAATTTAGAATTTCATATATTTTTAATCATGTCCCATAATTTCATATTTTATCATGAAAAAATAGCATACGCTATGATTGTTTGGTATTAGAAGACGAGTCAACTCACATAGCAGAGCAAGCATTCCTCTCAGACAAAAAGTACCGGAACGGTCATGACTGCATTGATTATTATGGTTGTTTCAATGGACCTAGATGGATATAACTTGTATTTTTCTGGCATGTATTAATTTTTTGAAAATTAACCACTCTAGTTCTTTTTACATTGTCAATTTACATCATATCCATGTACCCATATCCAAAATTGAAAACCAACCTTAAAGCCACATAGATACCTGACTCTGGAACATAAAACTTCCATGGTCTAGCTTTTAAGTCCTACCCCATACCTGTGAGAAAATTAATGCCCCATTTATTCAATCAGTAAAATTTATAATGCCTAGACAATGTAAATGGTAGTTATAATTTACAGTATATGTTAGCTAAGATAACACTATTCAACTAAAGCACTATTACAACATATAGAAAACCCAGAGAGGTAGATAAGCCAACCTTTCCTCAATATGAGATCGCTTGTTCCCTTTTTCTCTTCAGTTTCAGTATTAGAAATATCCTTCATAATCAGAAAACATAATTACTTTAAATTCACATTAATTTAAAAAGTCGAGGCACAATGACATTAAAACTTACCATTCCCTCTTTCCATTTTATTGACGTGGCAGTGATTTTTGTTGTTCCCTCTTCGACGAAGGTAAAAGTTTTTGTTAAGCAAAATTTAAATCTGAAAATAATAGAAATTGAATCTTTAGCAAGTTTGAAGAAAACCTACCTGTCAGCACAATAAAGAACTTCGTGCCCACCACCATTTTTTTCCCCACGCTCATCTGCAAGATCAATCGATTTGTAATAAAGAATCTCTGAATCAAAAAGTTTATACTGTCTTATTCATATAGGAATATTCTAGCACTGTTTAGTGCATGCGAGCATTTGTCACAGAGAGAATCAATGTTTTTTTTAGTCTGAAAGTGAAAACCATAACATAGAGAATCTCACAAATTCAAAATATAGAATGTCATCCAAACAAAAATTAAGAATGTTATCCAAACCAAATTCATCCTAGGATTCCATTACCATAAAAAATGCTGATTCAGATTACAGAGTACAGAGTCGCTGGATAAAGAGTGCCAATCCTTAACGAAATTTTTTTCCTTCATATAGCCCTCAGCTGCCTTGAAGATTACCAAAGTGCCTTACTTTTAGGTTCTTGAACAGAAGAGTGACACCGGTGAGAGAGAGAAGAAGAGAGACGACGGCGGGATCAAGAGAGAGAGAGAGAGAGAGAGAAAAGGGAGGGAATTATTAGGGTTTGACAATTCATGTTTGGTTTTCTATCTTCCTTTTTTTTTTAACCATGCA